GTGGGGCTGCTGCTGTTGTTGTTGCTGATGGGGGGCGCCCAGGGGCCGTGGCCAGTCCAACAACAACAACAGCCACAACAATAACTACAGCAACAACAGCCACAACCATCACAACAACAGCGATAACATGAACAACAGCAACAACAACTACTACAACAGCAGCAGCAACAACATTCACAACATTCACAACAATTAGAATCAACAGCAAAAACAACAAGAACTACCATAACAACAATCACGAAAACAGCAGAAACAAACATAACAAAACCAAGCACCAAAACAGCAACAATAATAACAACGACGACAACAACAGGGAAGCAACAACAACAAAACTATCAACAACCAAAAAACAGAGCAGCAACAGCAACAACAACAACAATCAGTTTAAAACAGTTCGCTCATATCTGCTCATGTGCCGATCAATACGTATATCCCGAAGCCGCGGTACCCGCCCTCGTCGTCTTGGATCGTACCCCAGGGGGGTAGATCCTGCCACGTGCATTTTGCGCAGCCCCTAACACATGGGAAGAGAAGACGGGTGGAAGGGGGAGGGAGAAGAATGGAGCACAAGAGAAATTAGCAGGAGGGGGGCAAGGAGCAGAAAACAAGTGGTAGAACCAGACGGGCAGATCGAGAGGGCAGACCCGTAGCGGACAGGTCGGGAAGGCGGGCCCAGGCGACCAGGTCGAGCAGGCGGGTTGCTGAAGCGTGGGTCCTGCATAAATCGCAAGGACGTCTCGAGCTACAACGCGATTCCCAAGTAAATCGTGAGAAAAGCCAAAGCGAGAGCGTGATTCCTGTGCCGAGGGCGCACCGTCTGAATGAATTGCGAGGAAGTTCCATGCGAGAGCGGGATTCGTATACACATTGTGAGGACGTCCCGCGCGAGAGCGCGATTTGGGAATAAGTGATGAGGAAGTATTAGGCGGGAGCCGCTGTTGTTGTAAACTAGCGGCCAGGGGCACAGTTTGAGCCTAGTGACTCCCCCTGAAATAAAACAGGGTCCGAGCCCCGGGGGAAGCACTTCAATTGAAAATACAATGGTCAACGGAGGGGGGGTCAACAATAATTACTCTTCAGTGGTGAGAGTTCAACAACAAGAACAACAACAACAACAACAACAACAACAACAACAACAACAGTTGATTTTAGACTGTTCGCTCTTACATGCTTGCGCGTACCTCACCACGTATATCCCAAACCCCCGACACCCGCCCTCTTCGTCTTCGATCGTACCCCCTCGGGGGGGTACACCTTCCTAACCTGCCACGTGTATTGGGCGCAGCCCCTAAAAGAGCAAGAGGAGTGAGAAAGGATAGAGGGAGAGAGAGCGACAGAAAGAGAGAGGAAGAGAGAGAGAGAGAGAGAGAGAAACACAAACATAAAAAACGAGGAGGAAAGGAGTAGGGAAGGGATGGAGGCAAGGGACAAGAGGGAAAGAGCAGAACTGCGGACGAGAGGGATTAGAAGGTGGGGGGCTTAAGAGAGGAGCCTGAAAACAAGCGGCAAACCCAGACGGTTGGGTCGGGCAACGATCCCCAACAGACGGGTCGGGCGGGCGGGGCCTGCGGACCCCCGGGCGGACCCTAACGGGCGGGTCGGGCGTGCGGGACGTGAAAGCACTCGGCAAGCTTCCAAACGAGCCGCCGGGCCTGCCGTCACAGGCAAGTCAGGCGAGCGGCCCAAACGGGCGAGTCCAGCAGGCGGATCAAAGCGTGAGTCCTGAATGAATTGTGGGGCAGTCTCAGGCGAGAGCGTGCGGGTACATCTTCATTACTTGGCACGTGTAGTTGGCACGGCGCAGCCCCTAAAACAGGGAAAGAGGGGAGACTGTATATATGGGCCACAAAGGGCCGCGAGGGGCCACGAAGGGCAGCGACTAGGCCACAAGGGGAGGGGCCACGGAGGGCAGCAATGAGGCACAAAGGGCGCGAGCGAGCATGGGGCACGAACGGCATGACCCTAACTGGCGGGCCGAGCGGGCGGATCGATCGTGATTTCTGTGTGATTAGCCAGGAAGCTTCCAGCGAGAGAGGTTCCAAGTAAATTTGAGGAAGTCCCCAGCGAACGCGCGATTCCTGAATGGCAAGAGGGCGGAGCCTGAGGAAATTACGAAGAAGTCTCAAGCGGGAGCGCGACTCTGAGTAAATCGCGAGGAAGTCTCAAGGGGAGCGGGGGACCGGAGTAAGTTTCGAGCAAATATCAAGCGGGATCCGCTGTTGTTGTAAACCGGGGGCCAGGGGCACAGTTTGAGTCTCAAGACTTTCCCTGATACAAAACAGGGTGCGAGCGCGGGGAGGGGCACTTCAATGGAAAAATACTATGTGCACCGGAGGGGGGATCAACAAAAATTACTCTTCAGTCATGGGACTTGAACAACAACAACAACAACAACAACAACAACAACAACAACAACAACAACAACAACAACAGCAACAGCAACAGCAACAGCAACAGCAACAGCAGCAGCAGCAGCAGCAACAGCAACAGCAACAGCAACAGCAGCAACCACAACCACAAATACAACCACAACATAACAACGACAAATACAACGATAAAGACAACAACAACGACAACGACAACAACAACAACGACAACAGATACAGCAAAAACAGCAACCACAACGACAACGACAACACCAACAACCATAACAGCAGCAGCAACAACAGGAACAATAACAATGACAAAAACAAGAACAAGAACAATGGCAAGAACAAGAACAACAACAACAACAACAACAATAACAATAACAACAACAAACACAACAACAACAACAACAACAACAACAACAACAACAACAACAACAACAACAACAACAACAACAACATCAACAACAACAACAACAATAACAATATCAACAACAACAATAACAACAACAGCAACCACAACAACAACAACAACAACAACCAGCTTGGGACTGGGCAACTCGCGTGCCGTTCAACACGTAGAACCCAAACTCTCAATACCCGCTCTCTTCGTCTTCGATCGTACCCCCTTGGGGGTAAAGGTTCCCTACCTGCCAAGTGCAACTGTGCAGCCTCTAAAATCAGTGACGACAGAACGGATGGAAGGGGGAGGGAGAAGGATGGAGCACGGGAGAGTTTAGCAGAAGGGGGGTTATGAGCAGAAAGCACGGGGATCATAAAACAGGCTGATCGGGCAGGTAGGCCACAAAGAGCGGGTCGGGAAGTCGGGCCCAAGCGGCCAGGTCAAGCAGGCGAGTTACGAAAGCGTGGGTACTGCATGAATCGCGAGGTCTCGAGCGAAAGCGCGGCGCGGCTCTTGAATAAATTGCGAGGAAGTTCCACGCGAGAGCGAGATCCCTTCATACATTATGAGGAAGTGCTGCGAGAGAGCGCGATTTTGAAATAAACTGTACGAAAGTCAGGAGGGAGCCGTGGGGGGCCGGGGGGCGAGCGGGCCGGTTGGGTGACCCCCGATTTTCCCCTGACAAAACTACGTAGGAGCCCCGAGAGCACGGTCACTGGAGGGGGGATCGATCATATTATTCTTCATAAAAGAGATTTACAACACACCCACACAAACAAACAAAAAAGCCTGGCGAAGGACCCAACCATATGCAGTTGTGCGTACCGCGATTGTGAATATCTTCTTCGCTGGCACTCCCTATGGGGCCACGCACCCTGTGGGGGGTGTGCCAACATGGGTGCGGCGGACGCATGCGGACGGTGGCACTGGTACCCTCGGTGGAGCTCCCTATGGGGCCACAAAACGTGTGGGGGGTGTGCTGTCATGGGTGGGGGGACGCATGTGGACGGTGGCACTGGGGCCTTCGGTGGAGCTCCCTCTGGGGCCACGAAACGTGTGAGGGGTGTGCCGAAATAGGTGTGCGGGACGCAAATGGACGGTGGCACTGGGGCCTTCGGTGGAGCTCCCTATGGGGCCACAAAACGTGTAAGGGGTGTGCCGACATGGGTGTGGGCGACGCATGCGGGCGGTGGCACGGGAGCCTTCGGTGGAGCTCACTATTGGATGGCGAAACGTGTGACGGGTGTGCCGAAATGGGTCTGGAGGAAGCAAATTGAAGGTGGCACTGGTGCATTCGGTGGAGCTCCCTATGGGGCCACCAAACGAGTGAGGGGTGTGCTGACATGGGTGGGTGTATGGGGACGCAAGTGGACGGTGGCGTTGGGGCCTTCGGCGGAGATCCCTATGGGGCCACGAAACGTGTGAGGGGTGTGCCGAAGTGGGTGCGGGGGGCGCATGTGGACGGTAGCGCTGGGGCCTTCGGTGGAGCTCCCTCTGGGGCCACGAAACGTGTGAGGGGTGTGTGCCGACATGGGTGTAGGGACCGCATGAGAGCACCCCCACTGGGGCCTTCGGTGGAACTCCCTATGGGGCCACGAAACGTGTGAGGGGTGTGCCGAAATGAGTGTGGGGACCACATGCGGGCACCCCTACCAGGACCTTCGCTGGAGCTTCCTACGGGGCCACGACACGTGTGAGGGGTGTGCCAGAATGGATGTGGGAACCGCATGCGGGCACCCCCACTATCGCCTTCGGTGGAGCTTCCTATGGGGCCACGAAACGTGTGAGGGGTGTGCCAAAATGGTTGCGGGGACCGCATGCGGACACCCCCACTAGGACTTTCGATGGAGTTCCCTATGGGGCCACGAAACGCGTGAGGGGTGTGCCAAAGTGAGGGGGGTGACGGGAGGATGGAGGAGGGGGGGAGGAGTAAAGGAGAAGAGGAGAACGCGGGGACCGTCTCTTCAAAACGAGGACCCAACATAGGATGGTTGGGAAAAAAACTAACCCAGCAACTCGGACCTGCCCGCCCCCTCCTGCTGGCCCGAATCAGTGCTGGGCCACCTCAGACCCCCAGACAGCCCCAAAGGAAGAGGCAGGAGAGGGGATGAGAAGGGAGAAGGAAGAAGGGATGAGGCAGCGAGAAGGGAAGGGGGAGAAGGGAGGGGGAAGAAGGGAGGAGGAAAAAGAGGAAGAGGAGCGGGCAGGCGAGGTACCGCGAGGGGCAGGCGCCTGAGGGACCTGCCCTCCTGCCGCAGCCTCAGCGCGTCGACCGGCTCCTCGGCGGCGCGTACCCTGGCCCCTCTCCCGTCGAGCACAGGAGCTCCTCCTCCTCCTCCCCCTCCCTCCTCCTCCTCCTCCTCCTCCTCCTCCTCCTCCTCCTCGGTCTGCCCTCCCGCCTCCACCACCCTCCTCCTCCTCCTCCTACACCATCCTCCCCTCCTCCTCCTCCCTCCTCCTCCTCTCCTCATCCTCCTCCTCCTCCTCCCTCCTCCTCCTCCCCCTCCTCCCTCCTCCTCCTCCTCCTCCTCCTCCTCCTCCCTCTCCTCCTCCTCCTGCTTCCTCCTCAAATGCGACCTCCTCGAAGATGCGAGCATTGGTAGCACCCTGCACCCTCTTCCGCCTCCTCCTCCTCCTCCTCCTCTCCTCCTCCTCCTCCTCCTCCTCCTCCTCCTCCCTCCTCCTCCTCCTCCTCCTCCTCCTCCTCCTCCTCCTCCCCCTCTTCCTCCTCCTGACCCTCCTTCCTCCTGATCCCCCCTGTCACCCCGCGGAGGTAGTGGGAGGGAGGTCACCCCACGGAGCAGCTCAGATGCGGACGAGGAGGCTGATCATTTCCTTTTCGACCGAAGCTAGCTCTGGAGGGCTACAGCGTGCAGCGATAGACCCTCGACGGAAGTCAAGGCCCAGACCAGACAGTTTGGCACCCGATCTCCGTCGCTGATGTCTGGGAAGTGATACCCCTCCCTTTCGTCGCCACCATTGACATTCGTCCCGGTCCTTTTCATCCTCCTATTCCTCCTCCCCTCTCCACCTCCTCCTCCTCCCTCCGCCTCCCCTCTCTCCCCTCCTCCTCCCCTCCTCCCCCCTCCTCCTCCTCCTCCTCCTCTCCTCCTCCTCCACCTCCTCCTCCTCCTCCTCCTCCCTCCTCCCGCCTCCTCCTCCTCCTCCACCCCTCCTCCTCCTCCTCCTCCTCCTCCTCCTCCTCCTCCACCTCCTCCTCCACCTCCTCCTCCTCCTCCTCCTCCTCCTCCTCCTCCTCCTCCTCCTCCAGCTCCCGGGCGCTTCCAAGAGGGAGTCAAGTCGGAGGAGGCTGGACCAGCTCCTCCCGCCAGGGTCTCCGTGCGGAGGTGGCCGGAGGAGAGGATGGAACGGAGAAGGCTGGACCGGGCCCCCCATGGAACTCGCCAGAAGTGCCCGCCTGGACGCGCTGCCGAGGACGACGACGACGACGACGACGACGACGACGACGACGACGACGACGACGACGAGCAGGAGGGCCAGCTTTGAAGGAAGCGTCGAGAAGCAGGCCGAGCAGGAAAGAGAAGCAGCAGCTGAAGAGGGAGGAGGGGGAGGAGAAGGAAAAGAATCACGAGGGGAGCACCAGGAGAGAGGGGAGAGTCGGCGAAGGAGTGGGAGGCCCGCAGGTGGACAGCAGAAGGAGAGGGGGAAGCGTATGGGTAGATGCAAGCATTCCTGCTTCTTTCATATGCGCGGCCAGAGCCGTTGACTTCTGGTCGCGGCGATCACTTACTGAGCACGTTCGAAATCGCTCGTTCCTGGTCCTCAAATCAGTACCACAAGCTTGGACGAGGACGAACGGGCGCTGAAGAACCTCGGGGCTTAGAAACCAAGCCTCCACCATCGCGATCAGGAAGGAGCGACAGTGTAAAGACGCTGGTCCTGCTGGATCCCTACGGCCGAGCTCTAATCTGGACTCGTTCTAGTGACGCTTTGGTCGAGCTCAGCTACTGCAACTACCAGCTCAGGGGGGATTAACTTCGACAAGAAATCGGCGATACATCGCCGATAGATCGGCGAAAGACCCTCGATTGCAAAACCGCACGGTTCTGGGCAGGGTGGGCTTTCGGGCCCCTATCAACGATCACTGGACGACTGGGGATCGAGGCATCCGCCCTGAGCCTACGGGCGGGAACTTTTGCACAGCGTGCCGCGGCGGCGACCCCGGCGACCCGCTCTGCCTTGCAGGTGGCTATCGAGTCGCTCCGCTCCGCGGGGCGGGAGGCTCGGAAAGGCTCGTGACGTGAACGCCCGCAGGCAGGAGTAGTGGATGACGCGGAGGCGCGGCGGCGTTGTGGGCCAGAATGAGCGGAGCAACACGCTGTCCAGAAGTGCCCCCGACCGATGGAGCGGCCCCGGGTCTAAACGGGTGGGGCGGCCCCGAGAAGACCGTTTTGGAAGGGGAGGGCGAGGCCAAACCCGCTCAGAATCGGACCCATATGGTGCAACGTTTCACCCCGGATCAATTTTTGTCGACGGTCCCGGGAAGACGGCCCCCAGAAGCCGAAAGGACAAATAACAAAAAAACAAAAAAAGAAACGTCCCGAACCAAGGCCGGAACCAGTGCCGGGCCACATCAGACCCTCAGCCAGCTCCAACCCCTAACGTTAGGTCGGGCATGTTCTCCTACAGAAGGAGTTGGTAAGAAACCTACAAAATGGACGGGAAAAGCATCAACCAGAGTCAAAGGAGCACGAAACATTGTCACCTGTCACTTTTCTCTGACTGTTCGGGAAGTGAGAAGGAGAAGGCCTCTTCGGAAGGCTCGGAAGTCCCCCGGCCTTCTGAGAAGCGTCCTACGCCTTGCCTCCCCCCCCCCCCAAAACAAAAAAAAACAAAAAACTCGGAAGGCGAGAGGGCTTCTGAGAGGGCCCCACCGCCTTCTGAGAGGGCCCTCTCCCTCTCACCTTCCCCTCCCCGCGCGCCGCCGCCGGAAGCCGGGCCACCCGACGCCGCGCCGCGGGCCGCCCCGCGAGACGCTGGCGCGGCGCGATGCGGCCCGAAGGGCGGGCGGCGGGAGGCGGGGGGCGCCTCGTGCCTGGCGGCGCGGGCGGGCACCCCCGGCAGGGGCAGGACCGCCGGCGGCGGCGCCTCTCGCGCTCCCGCGGGGGCGGGGGAGCGGCAGGCACGCCGACGAGGAGGGAGGCGGAGCGAGGGCTGGCGGGGGGAGCGAGGGGGGAACACAGAGAGCGAGGGAGAGAGGGGGGACAGGGGGAGGGATCCAGCGAGGAGAGGCAGGACGAGGAGGAGGCTCGGGAGAGAGTTCCAGAATGAGGATTCGGGAGCTGGTAGCGTCGACGAGGAGGGATAGAACGGCGGCTGCCGGAGAGAAACGAGGAGGGAATGGAGCGAGGAAGATTTGTTTGTGGGCCCCGACCCCACCGACTGCACGTGACCGCCGCAGGGCTGCGCCGCAGCATGAGGCGGAGCAGCGCAGGCGGCTGTCGACTCGCACACGACCGTGCGCAGGGTATTCAAATGAGCCTTGGAACGAAGAGGTGCATGAGCGAGGGCGAGAGGACAGGAGGAGGGGTCGGGCGAGGAGGGACAGGACGAGGGATAGGCTCGGGAGAGGACTGAAAGGAGGACTCGAGAGCTAGAGCAAGGAGAGCACTTGAAACGGCAGTGCCGGCGGTCGTGGGCGTTGGTGTCGCCTCTGGCAGGGCGGGCCGGATACGAGGCGCGGGAGCGGGCAGAAGAGAAGAGGGTGGCGAGAGGAAGGAGCAACAACAAAAAACAGTAGGAAAAGGGAGCCTCAAACCTTTCGTAGCCCCCTCCTCGTAAAGGCCACGCACTGGTCTGGATGATGAAGCAAAGCCCTGTGACGCTGAGGGCGGTCGCAGCGAGTACGCAGAGCACCCTTATGGGCACCAAGACGGCGATGGTGCACATGGAGACCCTCTCAGAGGCAGCTGACAGAGAGAAGGAGAGGGAGAGAGAGAGGGAGAGGGAGAGGGAGAGGGAGAGAGGGAGAGAGGAAGAGAGGGAGAGGGAGGGAGAGGGAAATGACCAAGCACGCGGAGAAGGACGAACGGCCAAGACCCGCTGCACGTAGATCGGTGCCCATCACATCTGTAGGCAGGCCTGCTAAGGCCATGGATAGCCTCAGGTCGGGCATGTCCTCCTACAGGGAGATTTGGGAGGAAAAATAAAAAACAGCCACAAAGATTCAAAACTAGCCCATAGTAGTCGAAACAAATCGTCCCGATATTATTTCTGGACTATTTTTGAACATTCCTTCTGTAGAGGAACATGCCCGACTGAAAGATACCCCGTGGAGCGAGAGGACGCCGCTGCTCACCGCGGCCAGGGCCGCGGGCAGGGGGGAGAGAGAGAGAAAGAGAGAGAGAGAGAGAGAGAGAGAGCGAGAGAAAGGGCCACCAGAGGGCGGAGCACGCACCGCGAGAGCGCGATCCACGCTCTGCCCACCGACGCCTCCCTGGGCACGGCGGCGAGCCCACCACTAGGTCGGGAGAAAATCATCAGAAATCGTCCCCAGACTATGTTTTGACTATTCTTGCATGTTCCCCCTTATTCCTCCTGTAAGGGGACATGCACGACTTCAGCCTACCATCCCTCCCCGCCGAGAGTCGCGCCCGCGCGCGACACGGGCGGGCGGCCAGGGCGGGGAAGGGGCGAGGTACGACGACGGCGACGAGGACGATGGGGAGGCCTCCGCCGACACGGCGTGCAGGGCTGGCCCCGTCACGGCGTGGCAGAAGGGACGGCCAGGGGTGAGTGCCCGTGAAGCACAGGACAGGGCACAGGAGCTCTGCGCAGATGTAACCTGGGGAGGGGAACAAAGAGGAGGAGGAGGAAGGAGACAAGAAAAGAAAAGGGATGATAAAGGAATAAGAGAGTCCGAGAAAAGGAGGAAGAAGAGGAGGGGGATATATAAGGAGGAGGAGGAGGAGGAATAGAAGAGAAACGGGGCGAAGAAACAAAGGAAGAATGAACGGATATATACAATAATGAAAGCACAGCTCCGTGAAGAGCCTGAACAGACGATCAGAGCTCAGAGAATCGAAGGAGCAGGAAGAGGAGGAGAGGGTCCAAAGAAGCCATAGCCTACCTGCTGACCAAAACCTGAGCGACAGCCTTATACGCACAGCATGCCCGTGCAAGGACGTATCAACTCGGCCATCCTCCTGAAGCTGCTGCAGAATGAGGGGCCACCAAGAAGACAGAAAGGTCTTGATAGTCGGCGCATGTGTAAAAAATCGCAGGGCAGAAACAGCATTAACAGTATATTTCAAATACGAAAACAAAGAATATCAACACCAAATCTTGCGCGATTGATAAATCGCGACTTGCGACACGCAAGGGTATCTGGGGCAGGCCTGGGCCTTGGAGGCGGCCGGGGGGGGGGGCTGAACTCGATGGGCCCCGAGAAATTCTGGCAAGAAGGACGAGTCCAAGGGTAAAGGCAAATGCGCTCAAACTCGGTCCTGGACACCTTCTGGGGTTCGCCTGGTGCAGGGTTTCACCCCAAATCCGTTTCTGAAGGTCCCAGGGTCTGAAACGGCCCCCGAAGGCCGAAAATAGCAAAACACACGCGCAACACACACACACACACACACACAACAAAAACAAAAAAAAAAAAAAAAAAAAAAAAAAACGAACCCAGCACCTCGAACCTCTGATGCTTCCTGCTGGCCGGAACCAGTGCTGTCGGCAACACGCACGAATCACCCTGGGCAAGAATGACCTTTGGTCCGTGTCTGCACGGGGGACGCGGGATGGCTAAGCCCGGCGCGCGGCCCAGGGGGCAGGGCCCTTTGGGAACACCGCCAGGCCCGCATGGCGCTGCTACCGCTTCGCGTTCAGCGATCGGGGGGCCCCCTTGGGCCCGCACCAAAGGTCACTCCGGTGAACGGTCACTCTTGCGCGTAGCCGAAAGCCACCTCCGACCCCCCGCCGGCTCCAGCCGGTGGCGAGCGAGGGGGGGAAATGAGAAGGAGAAGGACTCCTCGGAAGGCTCGGAAGTCCCCCGGACTTCTGAGAAATGTCCTAAGTCTTCCCCGGAGACAGAGAAGACTTCTCAGAAGGCCGGAGGGCTTCTGAGAAGCCCTGCCGCCTTCCGATGAGGCTTTTCTTTTTTCGCCGCCGAGTGTAGCCGAGAGCCACCTCCGACCCCCCGCTGGCGCCCCTCCAACGTGGATTCCACTAACGCGCCTTTTGGCCAGTGACCAGGCGAACCCAACCCTCCCCGATGTGGGCAACGCTGCAGTGCATGAGAGAGGCCCGAATTAAACTGGCACTTTTCGGCAAAACGGGGCCCCCGAAGTCTCGACCCATACACCAGGACCCGTTCTCCATCCCGAATCGGTTTTTCACGGTCCCGGGGCCCAGCGAGGCCCCCCCGAGGCCGAGCACTGCGACAACGCCTGTCTTGATTCTTGCCAATGCGCTGGACCTCTGGGTACAGTGCCGCTGACTCCAGCCTGGGCCCCTGCGGCCGGTGCGGCCTCGGCGGCCGGGCGGCGCGGCGGGGCCTCGGGCCCGGCCTCGTCCCTCCAGGCCCGGGGGGCCACCGGCAGCAGGAGGGGCAGAGGGGCCACGGGCTGCGCCTGGGGGGCGGCGCGGGAGGAGGGGGGCGGAGGGGGAGGCCAGACGGCCCAAGAGTGCTTCCTCCTCCTTCTTATCCTCCCTCCTCCTCCTCCTCCTCCTCCTCTTCCTCCTCCTCCTCCTCCTCCTCCTCCTCCTCCTCCTCCTCCTCCTCCTCCTCCTCCTCCTCCTCCTCAGAGGATCCCCAAGACGGCCTGAGGAGGCAAAAACATTGACTCCCCGGTGGATTGCCACTGCTTGTTTGATTCTTCATGTTTGTTCGGGTCAGGAGGCCCCCAAGGGCCCAGGATGGCCCAAGAGAGTTCCAGCCTCTTGACCTTAGCTGCCCCAATACGCAGCACGCAACACGTAGCGTGTCGACACGGAGCTCAACACGTAGACTGAAGACGCAGGTTGGCGCGATGCGTTCGCCAGGACGTAAGACGATACGTTGAGACAACACGGAACCGACAAAAACGGATGTTCTGAGTACGGTACGTTTTGCGTTTCAACACTGGCGTATCAGGGCAGCTCAGCTCTTGACGGCCTCGCGCCCTCCTGGGCGTTGTAGGAGCGCACTGTGCAAAGCTTGCGGAATTCGAAGAATCAGCGTGCGCGCGAACAGACACTCGTTTGCCTTGCCCGCTTGATGGCCTCGCGCTCTTCCAGGCACTGTAGGAGCAAAATTCACGACGTCTGCAATCACGCTTCCCCTGTCCGTGTGACGCCCTCGCGCTCTTCTGGGGGCCCTCCTCGATCGCCCCGCCGCCCTGGGCGGGCGGGCCGAGTGATCCTGGGGTCCAGACCGCATCGCGTCGCGGAAACAACAAAAAAAATCAGACGAAACGCTTTCTGACGTTTTTGTCGGCGCCTGGGGGCCCTCGCCTGGCTGAGGAGAACAGTTATCGTGCTAGGGAGGAAGAGGTTGGGAGGATGAAGGGTATGAACAATAGCATCCGCATGCAATGAACGATACCTTCGACCGCAACGATATCCTCATCTCTCCCAACCCCACCCTCCCAACCCGTTAACCGTCTGCCTGACTGGCCCTGGGACCGTCAGTAAACGACCGAGGAGGAAGAGCTGGTCCTGGGGAAGGGGTCGAGGCCTCGGGGAGCCCACGTGGCAAGAACGAGCGCGACGTCGGGGGGGGGGGGGCTGGCGTGCACCCGAGGGCTGGGCTTCGTGCCACCCCAGACATGCGATGTCTGGATGTTTGTGAGTACGGGGGGTCCCTGGAAATCCCGATGCTTTCTCCAGGACCGGTTTTCATCGAGGAGGAGGAGGGGGAGGAAGAAGAAGAAGAAGAAGAAGAAGAGGAAGAAGAAGAAGAAGAAGAAGAGGAAGAAGAGGGGGAGGAGGAGGAGGAGGAGGAGGAGGAGGAGGAGGAGGAGGAGGAGGAGGAGGAAGAGCGCCTGCTGGCCCCGGCCCCAAGGTCGGCCCGCGGGCCCGCGGTCCTGGCTTTTGCGGCCGCCTGGCGCCCTGGCGATCTCTGCCTCCCCCGATCCACACCTTTCCCTATGTTGCTCTCGGGGATGGACAGAACCCCCTTTAGTAAAACGTGGTTTAGTGAAAACGACCTCGGGCCCAAACCTGGCGGGCGCAAGGCTGGAAAATGACGGCCGCGGTGCCCTCTCGAGAACTGAAAACGGACAATTCACTAATCGACGTGTCAGGGTGGGGGTTCTGTCCATCCCCGATGCTCCCATCGTACTCAAGGACCGCATCCCAGGAATGATTTCGAGCACCCAGAGAAGTATCGAAGCAGTGTCGAACGGGTGTCGCCTCCCAGGGCCCGACACTTGAAAACCCTCCGCTCAAAATTGTTTCTGATGCTCAAGGCTAAAGCAGGTTGGAGCATCATGACCCTACCATTCGTCAGGTGCTCAAGCCTCAGCGCCCCTCAAAAAACGCGCAGAAGCCCCACGTTGCTCCGTCCTATGTTCCCCCCCTCGTACCTCCCCGCGTCCGCGGGTCAGAAGCTTGCAAAGATGACTTCGAGCGACAGTGCGTGACTAAGATTGGGACCCGAGCCTCCCCATGTCCCGGCCCAGACATCAGTGACATATCGTCATATTTGATGTGGTGAGTGACATAGCGATACGGCTTGGACACTCACCCAAAAGTTTAAGCATGACGGATGCATTAGCCGAAGTGGAGGGGCCAGTAGACTTCAGCCTTGACCCTTGAGCCAGCACAAAGGCTGCGAATGTCTTGGCGCCCTGAACGCTGAATCATTGACTGGCCCTGGAAACTGTCCCGTCACACACGCATGGAGTCGGCGATAGAGCAGCTCACACTTACACTATGTCCAAAACACCACGCACATGAAGATGGTCAAAAGGTGAGCAACGTACAGCCGAGCGGATGCGCGGAATGGTGGTGCCTGATGAGCGGATCGAATGGTGCTAAGATTGAAGATGTTCGGGCACCTTGTTTGGACATCTTATGTGACGACCAAAAGTTTCTTCAAAGCCAGTAGTGAGTTGTCCAAACTCGTTCGAAACCAGTTCTGTAGATCCTGACACAAACGTGACAAGTATCATCTTGCCTGGCTATTTTGGCCCGTGCCCTGATACCATGTGTAAAAATGAATGCCCTGGGCCATTGATTTACTCACATGCCTAGTCAAGCTGGCGAACTACAGAAAGCGCATGTATGATGTATGTGGCCCAGAGTGTCCTAACACATAGTGAGACAGCTATAAGGCTGAACCGTTGACCGAGCCAACAGTGATCCCCCCAAAAACCCAGATGGGGGATGGCTTACGTAGGGCACGCCCTAATCCCTCAGATGCCACGACGCCCTGCCAGTATCCCAGCATTGCTCCTGAAGTAGCGGAGGCGACTGCTCCAACCACACTGCCGCGATGTCAGGGTTCGGTCAACCGGGGACTTTGATTGCCGCCCCAGGTCAAGACATTCTCCATCATTCGTCTGCCCCCGCCAAATCCGGCAGAGGTCCCGGCTTGCAAAAGAAGAGTCCTGGTTTCCGGGGCCCTGGCGCGAAGGCAGACGGCTCCAGGCCCAGACGGCGGCGGGGCCCCCTGCAGTGACACCACAGCGACATGCGTGGAGACGGCCGCTCAGACGCCTGCAGTGTTGGCGGCGGGCCTGGGGGGGAGTGAGAAGGGGCGCGCCTTTTCAGAAGGCTCGGAGGTCCTCTGGTCTTCTGAGAAGGCTTCTGAGTCTTCCCCGAAGAGAGAACACAACAACCAAAAAAACTCTCAAAAAGCGCGAGGGCTTTCTGAGAAGTCCCGCCGCCTTCCGAGAAGACCTCCGCCTCCTCTCTCTTTCCCCCCCTCGCTCGCCGCCCTGCAGCAGCCTCCGCCCTCCGCCTCCCCGCGTGTTGCAGGAGCAGCGACCCCCGCAGGTCTTGCCAGCTGTGGCCCACCTGGCCCAACGTGAGCGGGGGAGGACTTAGGCTTAGGTCGGGCATGTCCATCTACAGGCGGATTTTGGACGAAAAATGAAAAATGGTCAGCATATACTGAATCCAAAATTTGAAAATGAACCAAAAATCGTCCCCTGACTACTTCTTGACTATTTTTGCATGTTCCTCCTGTAGAGGGACCTGCCCGACGTAAACTTAGGCCGAGGCCGCGGCCCTGCTGCCTCTGAGACCGACGATGGAGGCAGGAAGGCCCGGGGGGACACCTGGGGCAGGCGAGGGGGCTCCGCGGTTGCAGCTCGCCCGCGAGCAGCAAACTGCTTCTGACCACCCTCGCTTCTGACCACGAGCCTGTACCTCGCTTCTGACCACCCTCGCTTTCCAAAGCGGGAAGCACACAATACCAGACCACCCGCTGGGTGGCCCATAACAGTCAGGCTGCTGACGATAGAAGCAGAAAAAGCGCCACGACCATCAGCTGTTGGCGCTCCGCGCGAGATTCCTGGATCTGCGCTGGACCACCCCCCCTGCCTGGCGCGCGGAGCGCGCCAATGGCGGCGCCGGAGGCGGCGCCGGAGGCGCCGCCGGAGGGGGGCCCAGCGCGGATCTAAGAAACCCGCGCGGAACGCCAAAAGTGTGTGGCTATGGCGCTTTTTCTCCTTCGATGGGTGACCCATAACGGTCAGGCTACCAGACGAGAAGGCGCGTGGTATGACTGGGCTTCTTGCATGGAAGCGAACGCGGGATAGGCATGTCGCCCTGTGGCTTTTGCCTGCGAAGATGACGCGAGCTGGCGCGAGCGATCGTCCGCCCGCCGACGCGAGTGAGGATGTCCAGGCGAGGCAGAAAATCTGGGGGCGCGCACATCCTTTGTCGCCAGGTGAGCGACGATCAAGAACGGGTCTTGCGCGACATGGCACAACGACCTTACGCCGCGGCTTGCGCGGGCCGCTGGCGCGGCACGCCACACTCAAGACGGAGGGCGCCTACGCGCGACCTGACGCGGGCAGCGTACGCGCCAATGTCAGCGAAGACGACCACGTTTCTTTGCGTCGCTCTGGTGGAGCTCAGGTGGAGCGCTGTCACCGTCGTCGTCGTCGTCGGCGGCGGCGGCGGCGGGGGCGGCGGCGGCGCCATCGCTTGCAACAACACCATCACGAAACGTCAACCCCACTACCTTTCGGAGGCGCAGGTCTCAAGCCGGGGCGGGCTCCGAGGCCAGGAGGTGGGCCGCCCGGGAGCGGACACACTTGGGGACGAGCTGGCCTGGCACGCCAGAGCGGCAACGAGCGCGTGAGCAGCAGCGCACGCCTGGCATGCCAAAAGTTCCCCCTCCCCCCGACGTCGGCGTTCTGTCTCCCTGCCTGTCAGCTCGCTCGCGCGTGCCGTTCTCTCGCCACGAGCCCGGCGAGGAGAGATGGCGAGGGGCAGATCCGCAGCCTCAATCGAGAGGGGGGGTGGCCGCTGCTGCACTGTGACGCCCAGCGCCCAGCATGCCAGAGTTCACCCGATGACGGCGTTCCAAACTTCCACCGAGTCACCGCCCCAAGCCCGGGCCAGCGGGAGAGGCCCCATCCAAAGGAAGTGGGCCACCATCCGGCGGGGGGCACCGCGGGAAGCATGAGCAACCTCTGCCTCGACTCAGCCGTGGTGCCACCTGCGTCGCCGTCGAGTCGCAAAGCAGGAGCTCGCCATCTGCCCACGTGGACAGAGCAACGAATATTGGAGGCCTGGAAACTGGCACAAGCACAATCACAGGGGGCCACTGGGGAAAATTGATCCCAGATCTTGGTGTATGTGGTAGTACTTCGGCCACCTAGGAGGCCCGAACCTTAGCACCATCACCGAGATCGAGATCATCTGCACCCGTTGGAGGCAAACGCCGACTCTGGTGCTGGTGCTGACCTCTAGGCCTCCTAGAAGAAACAGCCGGGCACTGAGGGAAAGCGGCGTCCTGCTCCACACCGTGCTCGGCCTCATCGTACAGGGTGGCACGGGCGCTGACCGGCAGCTTGAGCGCATGACGTGCTGGCCCAGGCGGCTGCTCCTGGGCGTGTGGGCGGCCGCGTGGGAGGGGCGGCTCTACATTTTGGCATTCTGCGTTGACGGGCGACCACATCCCCAACAGGCGAAGGGCGAGCTCCAAATCCAGTTCGGAAGACTGGCTCTTTGGGGGGTCATCCTCCTCCTCCTCCTTCCTCCTCCTCCTCCTCCTCCTCCTCCTCCTCCTCCTCCTCCTCCTCCTCCTCCTCCTCCTCCTCCTCCTCCTCCTCCTCCTCCTCCTCCTCCTCCTCCTCCTCCTCCTCCTCCTCCTCCTCCTCCTCCCTCCTCCTCCTCCTCCTCCTCCTCCTCCTCCTCCTCCTCCTCCTCCTCCTCCTCCTCTCCTCCTCCTCCTCTCCTCCTCCTCCTCTCCTCCTCCTCCTCCTCCTCCTCCTCCTCCTCCTCCTCCTCCTCCTCCTCCTCCTCCTCCTCCTCCTCCTCCTCCTCCTCCTCCTCCTCCTCCTCCTCCTCTTCCTCCCCCATCACCCTCCTGCTCCTCCTGGGCGTGTCCTGTGCACCGCTCGAACGACCCTCTGGAGTTTCGAGATGAATGAGCATCCCACGACGCATCCTGGCGGCCTCCCGCAGCTCTTCTGTGCAGCCCTGATTATTCTGCCTGCCGCCGAAGCGACTCCGAACGGTTCGAGACGTACTGAAGGAGCTGCAAAACGGCCCCAACAAGAGGCGGAGCGTCTCAAGAAACTTCCCAAATTCTTACCCAGCCACTCTACGACGAGGGACAGAACATTCCGGAGACGAGTATAGTAGACCCAGCCCCCGAGCCAGGTCTTGATGCACGCACAACGCCAGCTCGGTGGGGGCACTTCAGAGGAACTTCTCCACTTCATTCCAAGCCACCGAAATGGCCCCAAGAGGGCGCCCAGAGGCTTTCGAGAGATTATCACGAGACCATTAGCAAGGGCCTCAGGGCGCACTTCCACCATGGCCCGAATCTGACCCCAAGATGGCTCCACGGTGGCCCTGAGCCTCGGAGAAAGCGGCCGAGGGGGCGAAATCATAGAAGCCCGCATTGCAAAAGCCAAAGGTTTCGCATTCACCCCTCCAACAAGTGGGTCCGTGAAGCCACGTCGCCTCCATCCACGGCGCATCGCCCAATGATAAGGAAACTGTTGCATGTCAACTTGGTATTGCCCATATGTTATACTCTGTGCCTTGGCCGAGTGATACGCTGACTTGTTGATAAACTGCGTGCTGCCATGTTCATAACGTTCTTATCCACGTACACCATCACCGCAAAATCGAGCCCGAAGGAAGCCCAACCGTGGCCCGAGAAGGAGCGGAACCAGACAGCCACTAGCCCCAAGAGAGCCCCGACAGAGCTCCAAGAACATCCAGATACGACTCAAGAGGGGCTACTGGGCCCAACAGGAACTCAAAGAGAAGTCAAGGGCACCCCAAAACGGCCCCAATATTGGCCTCAAGTTGTTCCTCTCGAGTGTTCGGGCTCGATGCCTGGTTAGCCAAACGTGGCTCTCGAGTGGCCCAGGAGGCGGCCTGATTGGAAGATTCGCGCCCTCATCTCTTTCATGTCGGTAACGGCACTCACGGATGCACAAGGTCAATCGGTCGAGGCTCATGTCATCAATACCCCAGACCGCCTTCACTCCTGATCCCTCAGGGCATCATCCGTATCGTCGTAACGATGCACATCTTGGGTTCTTCCTCCTCATTGACCTCAGCATCCCCCTGAGCACCTGGACAACCGAGGACATCCTTACGGATCCTCTGTTCTCGGAGTCGGCGGACGCGGCGGGCATCTATGATCAGAAGGAGCAACAAGAAGGGGGAAGAGGAGGTGGCGAAGGAGGACGATAACGAGGAGGAATAGGATTGCGGATGCCACGACAACGGACATTTTAACATTTCTATCATTCAACTGGACATGGCATTGATGTTTGAGCATGTGTTATCATGTTCTGGACGTGTTCATATATGATTTTACACGCTGGACATGTTTAATCATGTCTGGGACATCTGGAAAGTATTTGCCAACACGCCTCCTCTCCAATGATCGTCTTCCAGAAGGAGACGAAGGCCGGGGCCGAGGCGGAGGAGACCAAGGGGGAGGAGCGGACGAAAGTCACTCGGCGGCAGCGGGTACGCGCCAGATATCGCAGCTGCAGGCCGAGGTGGCCCGTCGCCGCGTCGGTACGACATGGCGCGTCGCCGTCCTGATGCTCGGGCCGCGCTGGACCGGCCAACGGACGTAATCCCCGATTTCGCGCTGGGCTGGGCTTGATGGGAGGAGAGGCCCAGCGCACACTCCGAGTGAACCTCGATCGGCCGAACGGGTGCCTGGGGTGCGTGCGTCCTCTCGACGGAATAGCATCTCACGGGTTCCCGCGCCTGCGTCGAGAGGCTGTTCTCGTCGAGGGATGCCGCTGCTGCCGCAGGAATGGCAGTGCGCTCAGGCATGGCACCGCCCCCGCCAGCCCCGTCCAGCTGGCAGGGCTGGGCCAGCAAGTCTCCCCTTCTCCTCCTCCTCCTCCTCCTCCTCCTCCTGCTCCTCCTCCTCCTCCTCCTCCTCCTCCTCCTCCTCCTCCTCCTCCTCCTCCTCCTCCTCCTCCTCCTCCTCTTCCTCCACCTCCTCTTCCTCCTCTCCTCCTCCTCAACAACCTCGTCCCCCATCCGGTCTTCTTGCAAATAACTCCTCCCTGTCGCACCCCCAGACGTGTCCGAATGCCGGGCCGGACGTTTCGCATGAGACTTCCTCACCACTTATGACCCTGAAGCTCGAAATCTGCAGCAGCTTCACAGAGGGAGGGTGAGCCGTGGAAATCATGCCTTAGCGCCGCGCGCATGTGTCGTGAAACTTTATAACAGCTTCAAGGACGGAGGCGGGTTCCTTTTCGAAATGTGGCTCTCGCCTTCGCGCTGTACACATTCGCGCGAAAAGTCCACAACAGACCCAACGATTCGCAACCCTGACATCCCAGCAAATGTTTTCTGGCACGACTTAGGCATGCAAGGACGGGACAGTCACATGAATTCGTTTCCTGGAAGTCCCAGGAATGGTGATCTGGCGCGATTCAGGATTGCCAGGACGGAACAGTCACGTTGATTTGTGGCGTTGAAGTCCCAGGAATTCTATTCGTGGCAGGATGTACGCGTGGTTCGTGGCGTGGTTCGTGGCACGATCTATGGCTTCTCAAGCGATTTCGAATACACCGGGAAACTTCGAACTTCGAACTGGCGCAGACCGAACTTCGAGCTTCGAACTCAGAGAACCGATGCTTTTGGTGCATGGGGGGGTTCTCGTCACCGCGGCCGGATTCGACTCTGAATTCGAAAGGGCGACTAACCTCGAATTTCGACCTTCGAAAATCAAGGCCTCTTGGGCCTCGAGAGGGATTTCTCGTCGCCGCGGCTGGATTACCCCACCAACCTCTCGTCAGAAAGCACCCCAGGAGAGGTCTGGGCCGCGACTTTTGAACCCCAGGCTCAACACTCGCGCTTGGAAAAGAATCGCGACAAGGGGTCTTTCGCTGTTTCCGGCCTCTGGGGGCCCTCGCCGAGCCCCGGGACTGCCAAAAACTCTTCGGGGTGAAAAGCTGGTCCTGGGTGGGTCGACACCTCCAGGGGCCCACGTGCGTATCCTCCATCCGCTTGGTGTCCGCTAGAAGCACAATCTGCACGCAGCAGTAGAAGGGGGGGGCGGAAGAAGAGACGACGGAGGAAGAGGACGATGACAACTACGACAAGAATGGGAAGCACAAGTTATCAAATGGCGATTGGGAAGGAGTCCTTTCCCCTCAATTCCCTGCTACACCCACGCTCGAGTCCTTGCTGGCAGGAAGGCCTGGCTGATCCACGCCATTGCCAGGACCCGGCAACATCAATCCAGCCCAGGGCGAGACCTACGCAAAATCAGTGCTGCGGCGCATTTGGGGGCGCGCTCTTCCTCTCCTCTTCCTCCTCCTCCTCCTCCTCCTCCTCCTCCTCTTCTCCTCCTCCTCCTCCTCCCTCCTCCTCCTCGTCCTCCTCCTCCTCCTCCCTCCTCCCTCCTCCTCCTCCTCCCTCCCTCCTCCTCCTCCTCCTCCTCCTCCTCCTCCTCCTCCTCCTCCTCCTCCGCCTCCTCCTCCCCCCCGTAAACAAGCCTCCCTGTGGCAACCCCCAGACGTGTCGGTAGGGCATGTCAGGCGTTTCGCCGTAGCTTTCCTCACCGCTCATGCCCCCGAAGCCCGATGCTTGCAACAGTTTCGCCGATGGAGGGCGGGTGGTTTTCAAAATACGGGTCTCGCTGGGGTGCGCGCACAGTCGTCGTCAAAGCTTGCAATAATTCCACGGACTGAGGACGGGTGGTTACCACAATGTGGCTCTTGCCTTGGCAATTATTCTCGAAAGCTTTCAAAGGATTCACGGATGGAGGGCGGGTGGTTTTCAACTGTGGCTCCCGCCCTGGCGCCACGGACGTTCGTCTTAAAATGTTGCAATATTTTGTCGAATGCAGGGCGACATGTTTCACAATGTGGCAATCGCCTTAGCACCGTGCTCGCTCGTCTTAAAGTTTACAACCGCTTCCATGAACTCGATGGTTAAAGTCCCAGGACGCTTGTTTCTGGGACGACTTAACGTTGTCGGGACGCAACAGTCCTGTTGATTCGCGGCGTTGAAATCCCAGGTTTTTTGTGGCACGACGAAGGCTCTCAGAATAATGTATTCGAGCGGGCCACTTCGCGCAATGATTATGGGGTCTTCTAAGGACATACAAAAGAGGAACTTGGAGGGACGATGTTCTGCGACATCGTTAACGCGTCTGGGGGTTACGCTGGGGCTGGTCCTGCGCAGCCTCCTCCCCCTACCCCTTCTCCTCGCCATCAGCGTCGCGGTCACCGTCATCAACAGCACCACCACCACTAGCATCAGAAGCACCATCATCATCCCATCGTCACCACCGTCATCATCAGCAGCATCACCACCTGCATCATCATCAGCAGCATCAACATCAGCATCAGCATCAGCATCATCATGAGCATCATCAGCATCATCAGCATCATCGTCATCATCAGCATCATCAGTAGCATCACCACCACAATCATCGTCATCATCAGCTTTAGCAGCATCAGCAGTATCAGCATCAGCATCATCATCACCACCGTCAGCATCATCCTCAGATTCATCGTCCGCGTCGCCATGATCATCAGCATCGTCGTCATCACCACCATGATTCTTGTACACCGCAAGAGAGCCCCAACTCCATGAACAACCACGAAAGTGAGCACTCCATCCAGCAACAGTGGCACTGGTGACCCTTCACCACGGGCTCGAAGCCATTTAATCCTCAAGCTGCGGGAGGGAGAAACCGCATGGGCGACAACATTCGGAACCGCGCAAACGCGGGGGGTAATGAGAGGGGAGGAGCAGGGGGAGGAGTAGAGGCTGTCCACATGGGGATTTGCCATTCCCAAGATTTCTCTTGAATCATTACCAACGTAAACAAATGGTCGTCTGTGCTGTACTCTTTGCGAAACCCTGCCTGTTCTGGAGGTTGGTGTCGGTCGAGAATGCGTTCAAGTCGGTTGTACAATAGTCGCGAAAAGAGATTGTACATCAAGGGGATGATCGAAATTGGACGGTAATTTTGAGGCACTTTTGGGTCCCCTGATTTGAACAACACTCTCAACTGTGTACTTTTCCATGCCGACGGTGTGCACGCTCCCGGCTTGATAACGTCATTGTAAAGACTTAACAATGCGCGTCTTAACCCAAGTCCACCATTCTTCAACATCTCCGCGACTATGCCACTAATGTCTGCCGCCCTGCCATTTTTTGGTTGTCTGGGTCCCGTCTCCAACTCCTCCATAACTAAAGGCGGAATCGACTCACACTTTGTTTCGCCTGCTTGCGACTGTCCCCGTACATCGGGCATCTGTTCCCCATCCCGGCGCGCATACAGACTCGTGTAAAAATCAGCGAACACATTTGCCATCTCCAGCCGGTCGTAGGTCAGCTCCCCACTGGAGGTGCGCATCGAAGAGGTGAGTGTTCGTTTTTGCAGCTCTTGACATTGCTACTCTGCTTGAGGCCTTTGAAACTTCCCAGTATGTTTGAAATCATCAAGGAGTGTTGTGCCCGCTGTGTTGCTGCAATGCGTTTTGGGATATGCTTGCTCACGTCCCTGCGCTCACGGGTACAACACTTCGGCATCACCCTACGAGCTTCCAGAAGTCGGGCAAGAATTGGGTCTGCATGAGCCTCTTCACTGGTTTTGGTTTGTCCAAGGCACGCCGTCATTTCCATGGCCTCTCGGATCGAAGATTCGATCATGGAGGAGTGCTGCTCCACGTCATGTGAAAAAGCCGATGCGGAGATGGGCTGTTCCAGGGTGTCCTGGTACTCGGTCAAGGAGACCGGCGGCCATTTCCGCGCCTTCGCAGGTGTGCTTCGCGAAGAAGTTCTTGCCCTCTTCGCAATATTGCCCGGCTGCTGTAAGATCAACCTGCGCCATGTCACTGCGACGTGGTCTGCTCCCATGTCCACTGCGGCTGTAGCGCAACAATCGTGCGTTGTACGCCACAACGCCCTCGACACAAGTATGTAGTCCAGCTGCCCTGCCCCATGCTTGCTGCGATAATATGCAGGTAGATAATGCAATTGCTTCTGAAACATTGAACTCCCAATTACCAAATAGTTCTTATTGGCACAATTATTCAGCCATCGTCCTCGTGAGTTTTCCAATCCGCACGCGTGCTTCCCACAGACCTTCGCGTTGTCGTAATCTGTAGCTGGGCCAACTTGCGCATTGGAGTCTGCCCCAATCAGCGTTTGTAATTTGCGCTTTTTGGCCGACCGGAGTGCCTCTGACAATGTGTCGTACATGGCTTGCACATGCATGTCGCTGTACTTGCTGTGTGGGAAGTACGCTGATATAAATCTCACCCGTAATGGATTCGTTACGATGTCAACGTAGGCGATCCTGTCGCTTAGTGGGCAAAATCGTTGCACGTGATTGGCCCACCTTGCATGCATTCTAATACCCACCCCATGCTTGTAATCACCGCCCCCACATCCAGCGAACATGTGACCTTCATCATAGTTTCATAGTTTCGTTGGGAGTATGATGTCCCAATGGGCGTTCGCCAATTCCCCAAATAACTCATAAAATGTTCCATCACAAGTGAGCCCTCTCACATTTTTGTGGATGGCGACAAAAGGAGGTCAATGCAGCTTGTCGGAGCCTTCGTCGTTCGACCTCGTATTCCTTCTCGTCCCAATGGTGGGACACGTGTCGTCAGAGTTGGACGTAGCATGCCGATCGCGTAGGATGCAAAGTGGTACATCCCCGGGAGTACTGCTGTCGGCCTGTCGTCCTCCTCCACGGCTGTGTGCAACATGATGATGGGCATGCTCATGCAGCTCATGAAGTAGAGAGGCATTAGTCCTCGATTCGACTGCGGGGCCATGGCGGTAGAAGTCGGCGTCGGCGAAAGCAACGCCGTCTTTGGTGAAAGGGCCGACCGCTGAAATAGACGTCGGAGCCGGAGATATCAGGGTCGGGGGTGCCAGAAGAGGCTGATCAGCTGGCCCTGGCTCTTCTGCTCCAGGAATTGAGGGAACAGCATTTCGAAGGTGACATTGCCTGAGAAAGTCCAGAGGTACATCTCCAGACACTTGGTGAAACTTCCCTCTCCCTCCGCCTCCCAGTGAAGGCAACACCGGAGATGCGCACGAAGAAGTAGTCAATGGTGGAACGAGAACTTGACCTTGCAGAGGCTGTGTCCTGAGGGAAGCAAGAGATCCTGCAGGGACGCCGTCATCAACACATGAATACAACCCCCTTCCGCCCCCACTCGATTTTGAACGTGTATTCTCAATCGGCTGCGAAAGCTAAATTGACCTTGTAGGCGCCGTACTTGCACAGGTAGGTTGAAGCTCTACGTGCTTCCTTCGATCTGTATGGCGCCACTCGCTTCCCGAGGCCGGGTCGGGTTTCATCTTCTCCCGCCACTTCCGCATCGACTCTTCCACGGCAGCCTCCACCAGCTTCCCGGTCTTCGTCGCGTGCAATTTACCATCGTCGTCATACCAAACTACATGTTTCTCTCCTTTTGCCCCGTCTTCGATTACAACCATACCCTTTTGCCAAAAAAATGTATCTCTGTTGTGGTGTGTTGGGGATGTTTAGATAGATGATACTTTGCGTAGCCTAGCGTGGTTCCCGATCCTTTTCTTCCTTGGTCAAGTTGTTCTGGAAGAAGCGCCCCATAGAGCCACC